GTACACAGACACACATGCAGGTAGAATATTCATAGACATGAAATAAAATAAATAAACCTTTAAAAACCAAAAGAGAATTTTCAAAATTACAGGAGGACCTATGTCAATATAACAGAAAAAAAAAATGGTTTTGAAACTGAGTCCTACTATGTAGGTCTGGCTGGTCAAGAACCAGGCTGTCCTTGAATTCACCTGCTAATTATGTTATTCTAATCTACACTTTGTCTGCTAGCACTCTTGACCCACCAATAGACCGCAAGGAAACAGAGCACAGAAATCAAGCCTTGCACATCATGCTGGATTCTTCTCTGCGTATATGTGCAGAGCGTTATTGACCTGGACCAGACAATGTTATGCCTGAGGGAAAGAGTGAAGGTAAGTTCTGTGCCCTTCGTGGCTCACTCTTGGAGAAAGCATCCTTGCCAAAGCCACAGGGTTTGGAATTGGGCAACCTGGGAAGACGTGTGCATTTAACCTCCAAGGTCACTCTTCATCTGGCTTACAGGATTAACATATTTAATTTTTTTCTAATAATATAACAGCTGGTATTATGAAGCCAATAAAATAGATGCTTTTCAAAAGCTCTTCTGGATGTCCAGTTATTTGGAGAGGAGAAATAAAAAGAAACTGCTACATTTCCAATCCATCAATGTGGCCCTGGGTATTAACTTATCTTTTATTTTTAATTCTTGCCCAGGCTTGCACTGTTGTCTAGTTGACCACTTCTGGGCTCCTTATATTCACCTCAGCTGTAGGCTCTACAGCCACTTCCTACTACAGCCTTTCAACTTGGTCGCCCAAGCTTCCTGTCACCCAGTCCACTTTGACAGGAACTCTAATACATCCACCTTCCAAAGACATTGAAAGTAGGAGCACCGCTGTCTGCCAGGTGTTTGCCCATCTGTTTTAGCTATTCAGTGGTGTCCAGCTATGCTTTAACTCCTCAATTCCCAGTGGTGCCTTCAGAATCACAGCAAGTAGTTTATTTGCTACAGGATAAGCAGGAGATCATTTGCTGGCTAATGTGTAAGCTGCAAGTACTCTGAAGCTGTAGTTGAGGGGTGGGGGTGGTGTGGGTTACACTGCAGACTCAAGAACAATTCTATAGACTGCAGAGGTGCTCCCACCCCTTCCCAGTCTGGCAGATACTAACCTAGAGGTTAACTACATGCACGTGAGGAGGTATAAATGACATTTAGCAGTGTGGCTTCCTAGGGACAAAAGCCCTGACAGCCTGCTAGCATGGCCTGCCTAACAGCTAAGCACAGCACATCTGTCTGTGGAGCTGTTACTGCTTCTCCACACTACTGTCTCAAGAGACACATTCCCAGCTCAAGTGTGGATTCCTTGCTAGAATGAGTGATCTCCTCTGTAAATCTGTCCCTTGTATATGTAATTTATAATAATGAATTTCTAGAGCCAGAATGCAGAGTAAAACTAAGCCAGCGTGTGTAGGGGGCACTTGGACACTTACTAAGATGGTCCTCCTGAAGCAGGCAGTTGAGCTGTGTGTCTCCACTAGCCTGTCATGTCAAAGGAACTGAATTACGCTCCTCAAGACTCCAGGGGCACACAAACTGATACCTGGAATTCTCTATATCTCACCCTCCCCCAATTGCATTACTTCCCAAAGAACAATAGTGATTTCAGTAGGAGAGGTGTGGGAAGAAAGAGAAGCTCAGGGGATGAAGCCTTCCCTCTGCTGCTGTCGCAACCCAAGCCTAGTCCTATCCAATATGCGTGTGTCTAGAACTGTGCTCAGAGCTCTGAAGAGCACATGTGTGTGTGCTCACATGGGTAAGGCATTACTCTGATGGAGGCTGGCTGCAGGGACATCCTAGAGGTAAGGGAGAGCAACTGCAAAGGGAGGAGACAACCGCAATGTTACTCTGAGGTGGCAGGTATGTATCAGCACATGAAGAATAAGGAAACAATGTAATACTTCCCCTTAGTGAGATTTAGTAACAGTTTCTCAAATCTAACCAAATAGAACTTACAGACTAGCATTAAGAACATACAGGCCACCCTAACCCAAGAAGAAACAGCTCTGATTCTGAAAGCTGACTCCAAAGGCTTTGGGCTTTTTTTAAAGAACCAAGGATTTGTAAATCAATCACAGCTTTTAAAAAGTGAAGTAAATCTTTGGGTTTGATTACTGAAGCAAAGAGCACCAAGAAAATTCTCTGTATCTTCTGTGTCTCATTTTTTTTTTTTTTGAGAGTTCAACAACATTTGCACAACGTAGCAGATCTAAATTTTACTAAAATGGACTCATGCCAAAAGACTAGAAATACCATATTTGAGTGTTTGCTGAATGTTCTTATAGTTAACAAGGAAAAAAAAAATTCCACTGCAAGCATCACTAACTGCAACTATAGTGTTTAAAATGTATTCCAAGTCACGTCTCCCGTGGAGAGGGTTAATTTACTTTTTCATCCATGAGTAAAGATGTAGTATTTAACACATGCATTAAAACTTGCCAAGTGTTATCTGGAAGGTCAGGCAACAAAGGCCTGGTTGATTAAAATACAATAATCCTTAATAAAGTGGAGTCATGATGTGGCGTGGTTGTGCCTCCTGCCAGTGCTCCCTCTTCACTGTGTGTGTGTGTGTGTGTGCGCGCGCGTGTGTCCTGACTTCACAGCCTCTTTTCTGCACCAGCTCCCCTGGTTTTCAGCACTTTGCCTCTTTCCCTGCAGGTTTAGCCTGGGAACTGAATGTTCTACCATAGAGCTCCAGCAGGAAACTGCAGCTAGGGGCCTTACTCCCTAGAGTGGGCTGCTCCCTGCTGTGCAGTGGGGATGGGGAGGCTGCGGTGAGGGGCAGGTTTCCTAGAACAGATCCCAGACCTTGGACTCAAGTCTCCTGATGAGACACAGACGCCACACTCCTTACTTCTGCAAACGGTTCTGTCTTTTCACAGAGTAGGTGGGAATCCCTAAGCTGGCTGTGAAATTAACCAGGTGTTCACTTCATCTATCACAGAACAGTCGCTCTCTCTTTTAATTGATTGGTTAATTAATTATTTTTTATTTGGTTTTCCAAGATGGTTTCTCTGTGTAGCCCTGGCTGTCCCGGAACTCTCTTTGTAGATCAGGCTAGTCTCGAACTCACAGAGATTCACCTCCCTCTGCCTCCTGAGTGCTGGGAACAAAGGTGTGTCCCACCACTGCCTGACTACTTTATCATCATCTTAATTATCATTATCTGAGACAGGGTCTCACTATGTAGTTCTAGCTGTTCTGAAACTCACTATGTAGACCAGACTGGCTTTGAACTCACAGAGATCTACCTGCTTTTGCTTCCAAAGTGTTGAGATCAAAGGTGAGAGCCAATAACTAACAGTTTTGAGGGCCATCACAAGGATGGAGGATGTTAAAAATCGGGGCTATTTCCTCCAGTCAAAGAAAATGGCTGAGGAACAAGAGGGGTGCGAGGAGTACCTGAGAGGCAGAGGGAGCTGGGCACATACAGATCCACTTCCAGTGCTAATCAGTTAGACGAACATGGACAATTTAATGAGTTTCCTTAACTTTGTTCCCTGCTCTGTAAAATGGAACTAACAAAGCCTACCTCACAGGGCTGAAAGGCTTTAAAAGAAATGATAGCAGATCCAAGCAGATACAAAATACTTGGTAAAATGCTAAGCCTTCATGTTTGCAAATTTGGCAAGGTAGTGATAAATTGCCTGGGGTCTCTATCTTGGGTTCGTATCTTATCCTCACTATTTTAACTTATTTCATAAGTTACATAAACTTCTCTGACTCAGTTTCCCTATAATTAAAATAGAATCTTAATACAAGTAAGTAGTTACCTAATAAATACTTGCTGCTTTTATTTCACTGGGAGTAAAAATAGCCTGTTTCTACCTCAATCAATGATGCAGTGAATTAAAGGAACACACACACCGTGTGTGTGTGTGTGTGTGTGTGTGTGTGTGTGTTTTTAAGGTCCTGAAGACTGTATGCATTTATGAATTCTGGGGAAGAGTCAAGCGGTGATGCAAAGGGTGGGGCTAAACTGTAAAGTGAAAGAAAAACTCAGAGGGGCTATAAACCACCCACCAGGGAGCTATTTCTTTTGTAATGTGCATTCCATTTCTTCTCTCTCATGCGTTTTAATTCCTTCCACATTTCCTGCCACAATTATCAAATGTTTAGTTTCTGACCTCACTTTTCTGGAGACTGGAGCCCAGGGAATTTAGAATTGTTTATTTTCTGTCCATAAACCTTTGAGTTAATGGAGGGGCTTGTGGGCATAGGGTTTGTTGGTTTGTTTGTAGTGTGTCAGGAAGGTCACTGGAGTTGAAAAGAAAACATTACAGAGAAAGAGAGAGAGAGAGAGAGAGAGAGAGAGAGAGAGAGAGAGAGAGAGAGAGACTGACTAACTGGAAACCAGAGGCCCCCAAAGGGTAGAGTCACAGATTCCCACACTTGTTCAACTGAGTTTAAGGGGAAATTTGGATTGTAAAAGGCTCTTATGGGGCCCAGATAATAACAACGACAACAACAAAAATCCAGGACATTTTACAAAGAATTACAAAGAAGAAAATGCATTTCAGGGAATCTCAATTCACTTTATGAAGGAGAAAAGAAATTTCACTTTGCTGTAAAATAAAAATCTTTTAAATCTCCCCCCACCAGGAAAGACTTGGAAAGGAAAAGTCCATAACTATTCTCAGATGCCTCTGAAGTGAACAGAAGAACTCAAGGCGCCTTTTTGAACTCTGCGGCTGCTCTGGCCGCCGCCTCTGCTCTTATCCGCCCAGTCTGTCCCCTCTCCTCACTCCCCAGCCTCCCTCCATATTAGGCGTGGTGGGGCTCCAGCTTATGGCCCAAACTACTTCAGAATAAGTTTGTTAGGTAGAATTTCTGCTCTGAGAGTGCCAGAATCCCACTCCATCGTAAGGATGGGGGACCTTCAGTCCCACCCCCCCAGAGAGCATCCCTGGATTGCACACTCGGCCGCTGGGGCGCAAACCCCAGAGACCGGTCACCTACCTCGCCGTGGACCAGGGTGATGGTCACCAGCGCGAGCGTCAGGCAGCGTTTCCACATCTGCGGAAGAGAGAAGAGGATGAGAGTGAAGGCGCTGGGCCCCGCTCAGACCCTAGAAACTTCTTCGGGTCCCGCAGATTCATCCCCCTCCTCCCAGCACCCTCGGTGCCCACAGCGACCCGGCCTCTGCACCGCGCTCACCGTGCTCGGGTCCGGGACTCCGAAGGACACTGGACAGGGTGGCAGCAGCGAGTTAGAGGAGAAGGTGGGAGCGTCGCCGATCACCGGGCTCCGAGGAAGTCCGACCTGGGCTCGCCGCCCCTTAAGACCCCTCCTTCCCCGCCCGCCGGCCCCCCAGCTCCTCCCCATTCTCCTCCCCTTCTGCAGCGCGGCCCCCGCGGCTCCCGCTGCGCTCCCTCCTCCCGGTCCCCGCCCGGAGCTCAGGATCGCCCATGCACCGCAGGCATCCCCATCCTCTCCTAGACTCCCACCCAAGAATCCTCAGATATCTCAAAAGAAGGCACTGAGTGTCCCTGTCTCAGGGGACTCTGAAACAAAGGCGAGGGAAACCGCAGAAACCCCACGTCCGGGAGGGGCGCTGGCCTCCAGCAGCAGGGGTAACAGAAGGAATTAGCTGTGGACTGCAGCGATAACTAGATGGGCAGCACAGTGGGCATCCGTACCAGGGCTGGGACTCGAACCTGAGCATCCCAGAGTCACCCTTCATTGTTGAAAGGGAAAAGGGAGGAGAGAGGATGTGAGGGTGTTACTACAGCCCAAGAAGGAAGTGGGCACAGCAGCCCAAGCTGTGCTGGTGAGCAGAAGGCTCCTTTGCATTCAGCTGTGGGTGTACTAGGGAGAGGGGGTAAAGTGCCCTGCTCCGCAACGTTTTTATATGCTTCCCTCTAATCCAGGAACTCTAATCCCTCTCCACCTCACCAATGTTCCTGTTAGCACCCTTGCCATTTCTGGAAAGCTCCCTATTCATGCCTCGGATCTCCAAGGTGTTTCTTTCCCCAGAGGTCTTCAAAGGTGTGCCGCCTCTATAATAAGGGTGCTGACTCCCTATCTCTTTCCTGCCCTGACTTCGGGTCTGGTGGCCAGGAATAAATCTCTGTCTGACGCATTTCAGACCCAACATCTGGTTGCCGACTCCCACTTTCTACCAGCTCAGGGGACGCTCATCATTACTTCTCAGGCTTGCCTCCGAATAGCCTGTGCTTTTCCCATAGGAGGGCTGTCACCATAGCCTAAATCGGTTTCTCACAGAGATCTCCCATGCAGCCCCTTCAGTTCTGTGCCCAGGTCTCCTTTGTTATTGCAGACTCTCAGTCCTCACTCAGAAATTCACGAAGCTGCCACTGGTAGCGGATCGATCCGGGCATACTCTTCTTGACTGCACTGAAAAATAACCGCCATGTTCTTTCGCTCTGGGGTTTAGATACCACCGTGTTGTGTCTTCATCCACTGAGAAACTTCATTCACTTTCTTCTCCCACATCAAATCCAACCTTTCTGCCTTCCTTGTAAGCACTCTATGACACCCTGTGGCCGAACCTTATCTTGTCTTCGCCTTCTTTACCACACACCCGGCAGCTCACATCACACCAGGCTTCACGGTGTGCTCTGAACTTGTCATAGCTTGGCTTCTACTGAGGTCTGCTGAATGCCTACTGCTGAAGTTTTAGGAGGTTTCAAAATTACGCCTAAATTCCCCCACTGAGATTGCCCAAGTGCTACACAGACGGAAACCAAAATGTAAACTATGTTATGGGTCAAATTGGAATGTTGGCCATGGCTTTAGAACTGCCAGGGCTACAGTGGGTCTGCTACTGCAGAAACCCAGAATCAAACATACCCCGTAAGTACAGGGAGAGATGGAAAACCGACTTGTGTAAAATGGAAGAGAGAGAGAAAAAAAGATACTTGCTGTCCTCTACACTTAAGAGGGATGCCCGAGTTAGTTTTGACTGTTGACTTGACATAGAAGCTAAGAGGAGAATTGCCTATTAATTGGGCCTGTGTCTGGAGTACCTAGTCCACTGTGGGTGGCACCATTCTGTAGGCACCTGGTCCTGGGCTAGAAAGCTAGCCACGCATGAGACTGCAAGCAAGCCTGCATTCAGCATCCCTCTCAGATTTTTGCTTCAAGTTCCCGTTTGTTGTTCTTTCTGCCCTGACTCTCCTCGGTGATGAACTGTGACTGTGAGATAAAATACACTCCCCCTAAATTGCTTTTGGCCAGGGTCTTTTGTTGAAACAGAAAGGAAAATAGAACATGGAGAGAGTGACATATTCTTTAAAGCTCACTAGTCAGATATTGCATGCCTTCCTACTCGTTGGAACAAGATGAATAGGATGTAAATGGCCCCCATCAGCTACCCTGCCTGTCAGTGTGCTAGGGTTGAAGAAGGGGACTGATGGACTACGGTTTCCTTATGTTCTCAATGACTACGTTGTGTGCCCTCAAAACTGGCAAGGCTGTTCCTCTACCGAAAGTCTCTTGATTGCTTTCAGAACTGAAAATGAGTTTCTCTGTGTCTCTTGTTTGCGCTTTCCCTAACAACAGCTTAGGGGTAGTAGAAATTATTTAAGTTTGAAGTCAAACCAACCTAGCTTTCCATGCTGGCATTGCATTTACCAGCTGCTAACCTATGCCCTCTCCCAGCCTAGGTTCTGGCATCTGATAAATGACAGTGATAACACCCTTCAGGCGCTGGTGCAATTTAAAGAGATAGACTGTAAAAAGTGCCTGGCAGACAGATAGCAGGGTTCTATAAGTGGTCGAACCATTATTATTTTATCGATCTGCTTTGCATCTAAATTGTACCCAGCACTATGTGCCAGGTACACAAAAGCTTCCAACATGCCATATTTTTAGGTAACTGTTACAATCACTGAAAGCTTTTTAAAAGTGATTTCTATCTTCCAATAAGAAAACTGAAGATCAGAAAAAAAAAACCCTCAGATATTTTCCCAATAAAATGTCTTGGCATTTTATTTTATACTATTATTCTCTGTTTAATACTTAGGACATAATTGTTCTTGATTCAGAGTATAACTATATAATCAACAAACAGCCAAAAGAAAAGCAACATCAAAACTAACTATAAGAGGGAGTTGACAGTGGATTGGTGAGGGATATTTTCCATTGTGAGTGATATTTAAGTGGCTTCTCTATAGAGCCAATTTAAATAAATAGCTGTGAAGGTGCCTGGGATTTATTGAACCCCTGTAGGTGAGAAGTGTTGGGATAATGGCTCTTCACCTAGAAGTTCGCCTGTGTCCCTGAGAACCTATGTCTTACATCTTTTTTATTTTTTTTAAGCCATGTAGTTTCTGAGAGCTACAGTCCGTGTTCTCTGGGTGAGAAACTAGAGTGGGTGAACGTAGGCAAGGGAGTTAGCCTTTTTCTGGAGATGTCATAGACATCTTAAGATATACTTTAAAAGTCCAAGTAGAGTTTTTTTGTTGTTGTTGTTGTTCTTTTCCCCCTCCTTCCCTTTCTCTCTCTCTCCCCCTCCCTCTTTCTCCATCTCTCTCTATCTCTTTCTCCCCCTCTCCTTAAGTGGGCTATCCTCTTGTTTTATCTCCCAAAGTACTGGGATTTCATGTGTGAGCCACCCAGTTTCAAACTGGTTTTCTTTGTGTCTCTTTAACTGATCACTGTGACGGGGGAATTGGCTGACTTAGATTCGTGAGGACCCAACCTTAGATCCATCCAAAGACCAGGCTGATTGTGTCTAGGGGTGCAGGGAATAGATGTTCAGAGTAGTTGTGAAGCCACAGCTTGGATTCTAAATTCTGCTCTTCAGAGTGGGTCATGGAGGCACCCGAAAGCAGAGGAAAGAGTATTACAAACCCTCTTTTTGATTTTACCTGCATAAAAACAGAATGTGGCTTTGAAAAGATACAGATTAAATCAGGCCCCATATTTAGTCGATGTGTCCAACAGTCAGTTAAACCCTGTTTGCCAAACGTTACAAGGAGAACAGGTAGGACTGACAAGAGCCAGTTCCCTATAACCGACTATGATACACTACAACAGGATCTACTTGCAGTATTATTTGGTCTAAACTAGATTAGCTGCCATTTAAGCTAAAAACCCCAACCAACCAACCAACCAACCAATTAATGAACCAACCAAACAAACAAACAAAACACAAGAGACATCTGAGTTGAAGGCAAAGCTTTTTCCTAGAAAAGTTTAGGAAAGAGTAGAGTTGACATTGTTCCTACTTTTCAAAGAGTTCACTGTCTGCCACACTAGCATGGTGAAAGTAATGGCAATCAGATCTGATAAGTTGATTTAGACTTCAAAAGTAATGATAAGCCTATTTCAAATGCAGAGATTAGAGTTAATTTAACTCAGTGCCAATGTACGTGCATTGTTATTAGTGAAACCCTGATCTTAGGTGTCTTGGAGTTCTGGTTAAGTGCTTAGAATCAGCAGGACCTTTAGAACCTGGGTATCCAGACAAAAGGCAAACCTACTGTGTTCTTTCTCTTCAATGACATTTAAAGACATGTGATAGTCAATATGAAACTTTAGAAAATTTCACTCAGTAGGTTAAGTGTCTTACAAAATACATACCTTTGGTAGGGGGAGGTATCTCCCTGTTTTATTCAACAGTAGTAGAGCCCTCAGTTGTTCAGACGGCAACTCAGTTGGCTAGCTTGGCACACAAGCTGGTGGACCTGTGTTGGAATCTCAGAACTTATGTAAAAACGGTTGGGCATAGTGGAACAAGTCTAGTGCACGTTAGGCAGTGATAGGTGGATCTTTGGGTCTCAGCAGCAAGCAACCTGGCGTACTCAATGAATTTCAGACCAGGGAGAGACCCTGTCAATCAAAGCAAAGTGGACAGTGTCTGAAGAATGTCATCTGAGGTTATCCTCTGGACTCCACATGCCTTCACAGACATGCTTACTTACTCACACTCACCTACACGTACACATATGCACATACGTGTAGTAGAAATAGTTAAATGAACAACAACATACTGAGAAGATAGAATGCATTCTTTGGTCCCCCATGACTTCGTGGTTCACATAAACAGATTCTACTAACTCGAATAGAGACATTCAGGGAAATGTTTGTGTTGGTAATGAACAGGTTACAACTTCTCATCCTTGTCAATGTTCCCCAAACAATGCTGACTAATGGCCAGTGGCAGTATTTACATTCTTATCAGGTACTATAAGCAATATAGGTTTTATTTAAAGTATATGGGAGTGTATAAAATAGGATATATGCAAACACTGCACCATTTAACGTAAGAAACTAATTATCCATGGATTCTGGACAC